TGTTCTATCACACCGCATGCATATCGATAGATCATTCGAAAAAGCCAGATATCCACCTTTGGGTGAAGCATATGCATGTGCGAGAGATATCCCTATGCACCATAGAGTTGTGGTCGCATCAAGTTGTGGTGACCTTAACTCGTCTCTGGAGGAGGTCTTGTTATCCACAGATTAGGATTGCGACCCCTTGAATCATCAACCTAACTTTGGTGACCCGCTAATGAGCCCCTACTTGGACTGTAGGTCATGGGAAATACTGGATCGGTTCGATAAATCTAGTGTGGTATGTAGTCTATAGTTGAAGGTGGAGTACCCCATAATTACATATTGCATTCCTAAAACCATATTGATCATTTTGCCATCATATTAATTTAATTGTATTCATTTTATTATTGAAATGATTTTAGTTTTGTTATTTGAGTTTTTATGAATATTTCAATGATTTTTGGACTTATAAAAATACAGTTATTGATTTTAAAAAGTTGTAAAAAAATTCAAATATATATATTAAATTATTTTATTCAAATTTAAAACTATTTATAAAATTGCATGGGGGCCCACATGTGCCACATAGGGGTGGCACGCCCCACCCCTCTGGATTCTTTTATTTGTTTTGTGTTCAAGTCTTCAAGTTATGGTAACTTTGATTTGTGGCATGTGGTCATATCTTGGAAGGGAAATATTGACCATGGCTTATTTTGTTTTATGGCAAGTTTGCTTTAAAGGGATATGGTCAATTTGAATAGATAGTAAATGTTGACCTTATCTTATTTATATTTGTTAGTATTTATTTGTTTGATAATGTTTGACATATCCTTATGTAATATGTGAGATGGATCATGCAATTTTATGGAATGCATGATATTTATTTTATTTAAATATATTGATGGGGAAATGGTTTAAGGAAAGGGGGATAATGGTCCAAGCACCTTCCATAATGTTGATGGCCCATCTATGGAATGGATAACTCAGTTCTCTCACCTCACAAGTCACATTGATCAACGGCCAAGATTCAATCTCATGAAAGAGGCAAACTATGAAAAAACCGTAATAAACTCTAAACATAAATATTCACTATAAATATGGGTGCTCTCCCGCATCTCTACACACACACTCTCTCTCCTTTAATCTCTCTCTCATCTCTCTCTTCTAGAGGGGCATGCCCCACACTCTCTCTCCTTTATGTTTCTCTCTCTAACTTTCTCTTTCTAAAACCCTTGATAGTACTCTCTCTCCTCTCTAGACGTAAGAAGAAACTAAAGGTTAGAAAAATTAGAAGGAGCCTAAGTTAATTTTGGGTGTTAAGGTTTAGTAGAGGTTTTAAGAGTGGTTACCTAGTTTGGCTGAAATCAGCTATCCCGGTTCGAGATTGAAGTTAGACCGCAGATCCAGTACCATTGGATGTGGTGACTCGGGGTGGGGTATAAAAAGCCCAATTGAGGTAATCTTCGGCATCTTTTCTTTTATTTACTTGTTCTTTATTCTCAAACACAGTATTAGGTTATATGAATGACATCAAGTAGTTGAGGTTTATTTTATTGATGTGCTATTTATTTTTGGAATATCTATTGTTTGTAATAAGGTCATCTGTGAGTGGTCTTATTGCCAAAAACATAAAGGGTGATTATTATTAAAAAAAAAAAAAATTGTATTTCCTCCAAAAGATCACATAGGTCTTTCTTTCATAAAGTGCCAGCTCCTTCTTAGGGAGTTATCAATTTAATGTTTAAGTGCGATCTCCTTATAAGTAGGGATTTTTTACTTGAAATTTTATGGGTTGATAACCCCCACAATGTGGAAAAACAGTCATTGAATTTTTAAAATAGATAATTTTTGTACCTTTGTTTCGTATTGTTTTTAGATTATTTATTCTAATTCTTTTAAAATAATATTTTTAGAATTTTTTTTGCAAAATGTGCCAACTTTATATTTTACAAATATGATGTCTCTCAAACCCCTCTGAAAAACCTTATTCCAATTCTAGAAAACCTTTTATTGATCTTCTTAACATCGATTTAGACATGAAGAAAGAAGAAGAAGATTTCAGGTTTTAGAAATAGTGCATCCTGTAACAAGACAATTCATATTCAAGTGTCAATAGAGGTGCTTGCTTTGCGTCCTTTTTGGAGCTTAAATTTCATAATTAGATATGAAAATAGATTTTGCAAGTCTTTGCAATTTGTTTGCCATACTAAAACTACATTGGGGTTTGGAAGTCTGCATTACTTTGATTATTTAAAGTTGGTGCCTTGTACAAACCACATAGTTTTTTAAGTCTAAATTAAATTTCTTTTTTCACAAGGTTGGTGCCTTGTACATCTCCGAGATGGATTTTGGAATGAGACCAAATGTGAACATGGTGCACCAAAACTTTTTTTCAAATTTTTTGTCCACTAAAATGTAAGGCTGTTACAAAAATCAAACATAGTTTTTAAATCCATTAAAAAAAGGAAAAAGAGTAGGAGCATCATGAGGCATGTGTAGTCATACTCTAATACTTTCAGATTATAAGTAGAAAAGGCCATGTATTAAAAATTATTATTATTTCGATTTTAACAATTATTGATCTGAAGAAAAAAATAAATAAATTAAACTCTAGATGTACTCTATCTTATCACATATTATATTGATTGACCATACATATTTAAGGACATATAAATCTGCCAGATTTGCTCATCTTTTGGGCGAAAAATGTAACTTTTGGCAAATATGAGATTTTCCTCACCTAAACTACATTTTCTAGGGGATTTCTCGAGGTATAGAGCTCTACTTAATATCTTAATTTCATGGCCTTATGTTAACTGCATCTTTCAAATATTAGTTCTTGTGCTCCCTTATCAAATGTTAGGCCCAGGTCATTTTATGATTAGATTATATTGTAAGTTATTTTAAGTGCATATATGCTTTCGTTTTATGATTTTCCATATAAAAAAAAAATACATGGTGATGATAATATGAGAATAAATAAAGGAAATAATTTATATAGAGCTGAGCCTTTTTCACTAGTAGAAGATGTTGTTTTGATGCCCAAACAACATCAAATTGATCATCTTGACATCAAGATACATGGACATGAAAAAAAGAGGATTTCAAGGTTTGAAAATAATGCATCTTATAACTCATTTTTTTACTGTCAATTTTCAATACTTTCATAGATTTGCTCTGTCTACACTATTTTTTTAAAGTTTAAAATTTTATAATTAAAGATGAAAAAATATTTTAAGGCTATCACAAAGATTTCCAATATTGCAACCACATTTCTTGACACTATTTGAAGGTGCGGTTTACATTGATTGTTTGGAGCCTTGACTCTATACAAACCGCGGGCAAGCTTTCTATGCTTCCCCTATAGCATAGAAGTTCTATCCTCTCCCTTATCTAACCGTCCTTTCTGAATGGAGGGTTAAGAATGCCCCAATCACAATGTCACGTCTCTACACTATTTTATTTTTAATTTTTTTTATAAACTATTTTCATACCAAATTTTAAACGTCCATTCCTCTATTAAACTCGCATTAGTGAAAAATATAAAAAAATATTTTCAATAAAATGAAATAACCAAAATACCCCTGAGAGTTTCAAGAGGTATTTTGGTCATTATATTTTATCAAAAAATTATTTTTAATATTTTTTTTATAGGTGCGCCCCAATGAGAAGATGTCAGGTACCAAATTTCATATTCATACAATTTGTAAAAAAAAAAAAACTAAAAATAAAATACTTTGAAACGTCGGATCTATGATCAAATGGAGAGTGGCTCTCTTGATCAAAATTGAACGGCTGGATAGTAAGGGGAGGATAGAACTTCTATACTGTAGGGGAAGCACAGAAACCTTTCCCTACAAACCACACCCATAAATAAATGCTTAAGATGCAACGTTTAAGTTTAAAGGGTGTGGTTTGTATAAGGTTTCAACCTTAAACAATCAAATTAAGATGCACCTCCAAAATTTGTCATGATATACAATTTTGGTGTCGAAATTCTTAGGATGGTGCAAGAATATATTTTTATCTCTAACTATAAAATTTTAAACTAAAAAGGTTCAAATCAAGCAGATATATTAACACATGAAAAACTTGAAAATGGACGACCTAGATAATGTGCAGATGCACTATTTTTAAGACTTGAAATCTTTTTTTTTTGTCCATATCTATACGTCTCGATGTCGAGATGATTAATTACATGTTTTTCCAATATCAAAACTACGTCTTTCGAAGAATTTTAGAAATGCACCTTAATTCTACATTTTAAGGTGTCAACCTTAATAAACTTTTTGGAAGTTTAAAATAGCCTATTTTTAGAGCTATTTATTTCAAGATTGTATACAATGAGATCATTTGCTTTTGATACAACATGGTCACAATTACAACCATTCGATGTGAAATTTGATAGATTGGGTGTGTCACAGAGCCCGAAACAAATTCTTTTGAAGTTTGAGCTTAATCAATGGAAGAAATGCCGATTTCACATCCAATGGTCAAAAGATTAATTGAGTGACCATCTTGTACTAAAAGTAAATAATATCATGCCATACTTTGCCAAAGATTCATATCCAAAATCCATCCTTGACATGCAAAATTCCATGCAAGCTAGATTTTTGGACAGGGGTGGCATTTGAATAGAGGATGCACCACCCCAATCATGAAACCGATCCGGTTTCTATGCAGCCAAACCCGCATATGTAGAAATGCGGGCCTCTTAATAAATATATTTTTGAAATTTTTCACTTAATTTTGAAGGATATATAATCTTTAACATAGAGATCATCAATATAAATAAATAAATAAAATTTAAAAACTAGTAATAATAATTTTAGTAAGAAAACATTTGGACCGTTAGTTTCCATTGTTTTTTTTAGAGGTAACTTATTAAGATGGATGCTTTACACTTTTTTTTGGACCGCAGATGTAGTCATGCGGTCTAGCCCGCATGAAACAATTTTCCTTATGTAACGACCAACCAAACCCAACCAGGTGGCCGTTGTTCCTTCACAGTCGCTTGCAGGTTCAGCCATTTTCATGGCCTACTATTTATGCATTTGGTGAAGGAATCTCATTTTATTGTCTATTATTATATTATTAATTTAACCTACCCCTCTCTCTCTTTCTCTGTCTCCTCACCTATATGTTTTTTGAGCGACTCGGGAACCAACTGAAAAGGATGTCTGCTCATCTTCCCTTCCCATTTCCTCAAGCAAACACCGCTTTCTCCATTGCTTTAGATCTGACCATTAAATGCTTTCTCCTCTTCCACCTTACTTAGGGTTTTCGAGAGAGCTGGGATCCATTTACATATGATTCATTCGAGAGAGTTCTTGTGAGGACAGTCGCGTTGAATTGGATCAATTTGCTGGTAAGTTTTGTTAGTTATTTACACATTGCGGTCACGGTGGCATCGCAGTTTGAAGCTCTCTCTCTCTCTCTCTCTTTCTCTTAATTGCAGTTTGAAGCTCTATCTCTCTCTCTCAATTGCAGTTTGAAGCTCTATCTCTCTCTCTCAATTGCAGTTTGAAGCTCTCTCTCTCTCTCTCAATTGCAGTTTGAAGCTCTCTCTCTCTATCTCTTTTGGCTTATTTTATTCAAATTGTGTGGTAATTTTATTTGTTTGTTGGGTTTAGGTCAAGATGGTAGTTTCTGGACCCTTAACCCCTGGACAGGTACGTCGTTTGGCGTGTCCCCAAAATTCAATTCTTCGCTTTTGGATTATTGCTCGGTTTTTTCCTTGTTCTGATATATTGGTCAATAAGGAAGAAGGTTAAAATGTCAGCATTTTATACGTTTAGTGATTCTTCAGAATTCAGATCTCTCTGAATATGGTTGTATAGGTTTAATGTATATGTATACTGATAATGTATGATAAAGAACATATCTCATTTTTTTTCTTTTTTTGATAAGAGATAGCAATACAGTTAACTCTTATAAAAAAGAAGAAGAAAAGAACATATCTCATTCAGCTCCTTCATACCTACTGTAACTAGTTATTCGGGTTTTCTACTGGCTGCTTCAACTATAACCTCAGCTTTATTGATTGGCCTGAATTGGAATATTATTCCAATATGGGTTGTGCACTATCCATACATCTGGCGTATTCTTGGGGAACTATCATAATGGACCTTGTTTTCGAGGTTACCACCATTTCAGCTAATATTAGGTGCATTATAAAGAATTAATTTGTGTGCATTAACAATCAAGCAGATCTTGGTTTGTCGATCTTCTAGCCTCTAAATGCTTTATTTGAGTAAAGTTGAACATTGATCAAGGGCTATTGCGGCTTGATATTTGTAACTTATATGATAAAGGGAACATTGTGAAGATATTGTGCTATGTATGCTAGTAAACGGTATTATATAGTGCAGACATACAGTTTTTATGTAAACTTTGAGTTCCGAATCAATGAACAAAAGCTTGAGAGTTGTAAAAACAACTCAACTCTTCTAGTATCTTGTAAATATTTCCTTAGAATATTATTAGTGGTTGAAATATATATAGTTATTTTTATATGTAATTGCAACGTGGTGTTGCATTTTTAATTTAACACAACAAATTGAAAAACTAATAGGGCCTTTTTGAGTCGACTAGGTTGGCCTAGTTGGTCGTCAAGTTTGAGTTTTGAGCCCCTTTGGAAATTGATTTATGTCAATGGAAAACGAGGAACTCACCAAAACAGGACACATAAGATGTGTGAAAAATTTTCATGTAATATGAGGAACGGATATCTCAATGGATGAAAAAATCCCAAAAACACGAGTTTTATGTAGTCTAACCTAAGTGTTGTTCGCTTGACCAATCCCTTTATTGCATAGGCAAAGAGTATACTTTCAGTGGCATAATAAAGATGGCATTGAAAGTGGTGTCTGACAAAAGGATAGTCAAAGAACTATCCTAACTTGAAATTTGGGATGTGTTTGTTTGACAGAGTTGGATCGCATAACTATATTTTTAGGGTCATAGCAGTGACCATGCAAATTCATATGATTGAGGGGACTAATGGAGTCCATTCTTCCTCCTCCAGAACTGGAATTTATGGAAAATTTCTCACAATCATTGTTGGGAAAGTTGGTTTTTCATTTTTGGTGGGGGTTAGCACTCTCAATGGATAAGCAATTCAGCCTTAACCATAGTATTCCAATAGAAAATGACTCCTTCAAGGGATGGAATTTCCAATTTTATTTTTGGGGCTATTGGTCTAATCAAGGAAAGGCATATAGGACCTATCTAAATATTCACGAGCCATTGCTTTTCAAATCAATCTAACCTCGTTGAGGAACTGTAAAACAGGAATATAATTGAAAGATTACTCATTGCTTTTAATAAACAACAACATTGCAAGTAGTATCCAACATTGTAGAAAATTGAAACAATTTATAGTTTTGAAGTATTTGTGTAACAATGTCGTATATAGCATACAGGAAGAACATCGTTGAGATTGTAACCTCTTGTTATTTCACTAACTTCTTGAAGGTTGGATGTTCATTTGTGAATCCTCTAGCTCATCTTCTCATGACTTATTGTAGAAGAGATAGATTTGTAGCTAGCGCTTTTGCCTTACTAATAGTGCTTGCACTGTATGCTTGTTGAATTTTCTCCAAGAGTATTTGTAATATTTGACTCGGGCTGTGAAGACAAGAAAATTTGTAACTTGCTGTAATTAATATCAAGTGGAAAAGGGGACTGAAGGTGGTTGATATGGCCTCATTGGGCTGTGGCATTGCAAGTTTGGAGGAATTGGATTTTATTGGAAATTGAGTATGACCAATTTCGGTGGGGGTGATAGAGTTCGGTGGGTTTAATTTTAACAGGATAGCAGGGGTACAGAAGAGAATTTCCAGGGTCAGGATGGAGGTTAGTACGGGTGGTTTAGGATAGGGAAATGGAAGTCTTATCACGCTTTGGGCCATGTCTGGCATGAAGAGAATAAGAGCATTTTTTTAGGGACTCTTGATTTATCCTTAGGTTGAAAACCTGAAATGCATTGAATGTATGAGGGTTTTGTTTTCCTTCTTGTAAAATCTCAAGGATGAGATCAATGAGTTCTATTAACTTCTAGTTGGGTCGAAGAGATTAAATTAAGAGACCATTTTGAGAAGCACATGGTTTTCACATGACAAACATGGATCAAATTCCATCGATACATGAGTACTTGAGGGGTGGAAGCAAAACTTTTCCTAGAACAAACTACAATGGTAAATAGATACTACTTGTACAAAATGCCATCATACAAATTTTGGGGATCATTGTAAAATATGATACTACTTGCACAAAATGCAATCGTACGAATTTTGGGGATCATTGTAAAATATTAATGAGTGGAAGTTTTTTCCGAGGAGCCTTGTCTTGCGAATGTATGTCCGCCAGCTAAAGTCTAGCACATATGTGAGATAACGAAAGAATACCAGTCTGAAATAAAATATGCTCGACTTAAACATGCTCAATTTGGTCATAAAACATTGGATTAGAAGCAATCCAGATGCCACTGATGTCTCTCTATATAAGCCTCTCACTGATCTCATAGAGCTTGAACTTCCTTGAGTGATGTCTATAACTCGATGTACAGCACAAAATGGAGATAGCTTAATGATCTGCTTAAGTAGATGATGAGAAGGAAGCTTGCACAAAAATCTCACTAATGCATATGTCCGAAATCCATAAGCTTCTATACAATATCAACACGAGTTGTTTGAGCCTTTGCATAAGTTGAAGGTTTGATATCATTTCCCCCTGATGCTCGCAAATAATCCCTCCAAAATATCTCTTCCTAGCTTAAATTTTGAGCATTGTGCAGAATGCTAAAATGGTTATTAAACTTGATTTCCACTTGGTAAAACTTGCCGACTAAACAGCCAGTTGCCAGGTCTTATAATTGAAAAACTTTGTTGCACCTGAGTATTTTGTTTATGAATATTTTGTGTGTCTAAACTTTTTTGTTATTTTATCATGTAAAATATTAATTAATGGAGTGATTGGAGTGTGCTAAGCTCAGTGACAAACTAGGTTTGGTTCCCACCATGGACACTTGCATTTTTTTTGGTGACTTTTTGATGTAGGAAAATAGAGAAAAAAGGCAAAAACAATTCGATAGACTATCAAAACAGGCCAGATTTGAGTGTACAAAGAAGGGACCCCAAAACCCTAGATAGGGCCTCGTACTGCTCACGTCCCAAAAGTGAGAGAAACTGTAACACTCCATGCCCTCTTATTAAATTATAATTAAAAAAGATCACAACTAACCTCATTTAAGTTAAAACATTATAAGAATACCCATAAGTCCCTTTACCTAAATCAAAGCATAAAAGGTCACTAAATTACCTCTAACCTCAATTAAAATGCTGGAAATCACTAATAGAATGTAAAAACAGCAACAAACTCCTTCAAAAAGTTGGTCTTCCCCTCCCAGATCTCCTTGCGACCTGGGAATGTGGATCATCATAAAAGGTGTCATCAAAGGATAGATTGATTAGATCAAAAGGCCGATGAGAACTTCTTGACTAGTTAAAGGACATTCAGGTCCATTCTCCCCCTGTTGGGATGAACTCAACCTTGAGTTCAACTCTTCTTCTATTGCGACTTTGGGTTTGTGGTACTCGAAAAGATCAACAATATTGAACACATTCGAGGTTTCAATCTCAGCTAAAAGGTTGATCGTATAGGCATTACTCCCCATCTTCTTCAACACCCGAAATGGTCCGATCTTCCTATTATTGATCTTGTTGTATTTGCCCACATGGAGCTAAACTTTGCGTAGACAAACTATCACCAAATCACCCCTTGAAACTCTTTGAATCACCTATTTTTGTTTGCAGCTTCCTCGTACTTGGTAGTGGCAATCTCTAAATTAGCTCGAACCTGGTTATGGATAACCTTCATGTGCTCAATCATACTGTGAGGCTGTCATCATCCAAGTGTCCTTCCCCATAAGTTGGTAAAGGAGTCAAGTCCAGTATATGGGTAGGATTCTACACATACACGGCCCCAAATGGGCTCTTACCGGTTGATCTATTGCCGGAACTGTTGTTAGCAAACTCGGCTTATGGCAAAGCCAGGTCCCACTCTCTCTTCTTATCACCCACTATGCTCCAAAGTAGGTTACTAGGGATTCGGTTAACCTCCGTGTGACCACTAGTTTGTGGATGATAAGAGCTGCTAAACTGTAGCTTGGTATCCATCTTAAGCCATAAAGTTCCCCAAAATTGGCCAAGAAACTTGATATCCCTATCCGATGTAATCGTTTTGGGAATCCCATGAAGTCTGACCACCTCACAGAAATATAAGTTGGCTGCATGAGTTGCATCTAGAGTTTTCTTGCAACTAATGAAGTGGGCTTTCTTTGAAAACCTGTCAACCACAACAAATATAGAGTCCATACCTTGTTGAGCCAGTGGAAGACCTCACACAAAGTCCATGCTAACATCTTCCCATGGTGCACTGGGAATGGGAAGTTGAAAATATAAACCTATGTTTTGACACTGCCCCTTTGCAACTCGACACACCTTGCACCTCTTCATATGCCTAGCCACATCTCACCTAAGTTTGGGCCAATAATACTTAGACTCCACCAACGCGTTGGCTTTGTCTTGCCCAAAGTGTCCCCCAAAACACCCCCTCCATCCACGTATATAGCTTTGAGATAAGGGCCTTTCTAAGAGAACCAGCAGGAATGCATGATTGATTCCCTTTCAAGAAAAACCCATCATGTACCACATATTCTCCTGCAACTCCACCTTGGCACTTTACCCAAATCTCTTCAAAATCATCATCATCATCAACATTTCAGTGATGCAGGCACTCGAAACCTTTCACCATATCTCCCATAGTGTTCAAAAGTGATGCTCTCCAACTCAAGGCATATGCAATTTTCCTTCAAAATCAGGAATAACTACTTTTAAATCTATAGATTTTGAGTGCCGCCTATACCTCCGATTAACTCGACTCATCTCGTAGAGCATGATCATTAAAAGGGTTGTACTCAACATCATCTTGGTCAAACAAAATTTCATCTTGCTTATAATCAATACTTGCAAGCCGCCTTGTAATACGTGGTAGAGACTGCAAATTCCATGATTACAAATGGAACTTGCAATATCCACTTTTTATCCTTCAATATAAGTCAAGTGAATACCGCAATATCCACGTATCATGCATCAGTCCCCTGTTATCAAATAGGGAACTGCTATAGTACTAGAAGATGTGGTTTCCAAAACCACATCTTCTAGTTGCCAAACGCACCATTAAGGAAGTTTCTGAAGTATATCCAAACTATAGCCTTAAGTGATCTAAAAAAAACCTATTTGGTTGGACAAGCAAGCAATATGAAGAATTTTATCTCTGTAGGCTAACCATACAATGAAGATGCCTAGTTAGATACATTTCTATTTAGTAAAGAATACTTGTCATTCCATCACAATAGATGATACATTTGTTATGAATATTTCCCTTGGAATGTTTTTATTCCCATACTAGTCTATGTCTCCTTCCATTATTCTTCTCATATATATCTTATTGTGTTAAATATCAAATAGTATGAGATTTATGTACTCAAGTTTGAAGATTCTAACCCAACAAACAATATGCAACGTCTTGAAAAGATTTATGTTCATCATCATCATTATATTCATCATCATCATCAGAGCCTTATCCCAACTATTTGGGGTTGGATACACGAATCCTATTCTGCTATTCTGCTCTATCAAGGGCCATACCCTCAGTAAGACCATAAGTTCCCATAAATATTAATGGTCAAATGCAATATTCTTGGTCATCTCCAAGACTGCCATTATCAATTAAATTTTCCCAAGAACGAAGTTATATCTCCAACACAAGCTCGTGAATAAGTAATAAGACAACACACGGAGAAATTAAATAAACCTCAGAAAAATAAAAGAACATTGACATTATGCTCTCTCCCAGAGCCTATGAGGGAATCCACCCCCAAAAAAAACTTTTCATTCATCTCTACAAGAACCAATACTCTACTCAATTCTTTTTCTTGTCCAACACTAACAAGATTATCTTAAAGATACTAAAAATCTAGCTAAGTCCTTAATAAACCCTAATCACTATTAAGTCCTAGCCTTTTTTTTTTTGGTTGAAATTATTAAGTCCTAGTCTTTCACCTTCTTAAGATTAAACTTTCAATTTTACGGTCCGTACCAATACTCACACAAATTACCTTCAAAAAGCACAAAAAAAAGGCAAGATGAATTGAATTATCGCTTGCATGAATATTATTTCATTGTACACACATGATCTCCAAAGAATTAACAGAAAGCAAGTTTGTGGACTGAAATAAATTTTTGATAGACAGGTGCTTTTTTAATCTTGGCAGACCATATTATATTATTCTGCGGGGTATTATATATTAAATTTTAAGTTCTCAAAATTGTGAACATGCATGTGGAGGACATGATAATTTTAATCGTGTAGAATACAAAATTTAATCAATTTCTCTTTTCTCATTTAATAATTAGTGAGACCCAGTATTATTTGGATGTCATTGGTTTGTTTCAACTGCCATCTTGCTGTTTCATATCCATTATTATTGGGTTTCAATTGTATTACGTGAACAAGCATAATGTTTTGAGTGTCTTCAGTTTGTTGGTTAGATTCTTATTTATTCTATGGCTGTTCCTCTCATGCTACCAGGTATAATAAATATACATCATGCTTATACATGGCTTTATTTCAATTCTTATTACAGGTTTCTTTTTTCCTTGGAGTTTTCCCTGTTTTTATTGCATGGATTTACTCTGAGATATTGGAACGCAAGAAGACTTCATCAATATCTAAAGTGTGAGTTATCTTGTAATGCTTGTGGTTCATTATGTTCATGTTCTTAGGTTTATATCAGATTGTTTGGATGTCATGGGGTCTTCACAGAGGAAATTGAATTCCAGGTTGATTGCTTTGATGGTCATATTAAAACTTCTTCATTTTGGGACCTGTACTCTTCCTGCATTCAGTTGATAAAAATGAATTATAAAACATACACACATTTTAATTGGCCTTCTACTCCTGAAGGATGCCATGCTGAGAATGGCAGGCTTGAACATTTTGAGATTTATTTGCAAAACATGTCAATACAATGAGTACAGTTATCTAATCTAAAGATTCTCTTTTGTTCTATGAATACCATCTAAAAGTAACTCGACTATTCGAATTTACAGTTGGTCATGAACTTTTGTATATTCCTGTTCTGAGAAATAATTGTAGTCATCATCTTAAATTCCTTCGGGGAAGTGGCCTGTAATTGAAGTGACATGTGAAAGTTCCCTTTGAAGTACCTGGAATTTGAAGAATTTGATTGTGTTTGATTTTGTAATCTAAGTTTGTTAAAAATTTGAAATACATATCCTTACTAGAATACTGACTAGCAGGTAATAGAACACTTTGCATTGTTTTAGATTTGCGGTAGGCTAGGACATTTCACAATATAAGGGATGCAGTGATCATTAGGGGCATTTTGGTCATTTAGTGTTGTAGAATTAGGGAAAGTTTAGGAAATGTTTTATTAGTCATGAAGAATTATCTTTTGCTTAATTTCCATGTATTCTATGATAAGTTGTAGACTGTCTTAATGGAATTTTAGGCATCTTTTGAGTTTCCTAATGGACTGGGATTAAATTGGGGATCTATAGATGCCTCTAGGTTAAATATTGGACTTTAATTAAGGCTTTTATGCAAACGGGAAATTTAGTAATAAATTTTGATTAAAAGAAAAATTAGTCTCGGAATAAGATTTTTTTTCAGGTTTAACCCCCTTGCCAATTTGTTCGTTCTTTTCTCTTCCCTCTTCTGCAGATTGCTTTTATGCCATGCTTTTTATCGTGTTCTCTCTTGTGCAATGAGAAAATATATCAAATCTTGTGCAACAAGAAAATAGATCCCTTTAGCCACGTAAATTTAGTTTATTTCTTAGGTGTAGAAAGGTACTTGAAGAGATGTAGTTGTCAAAGTTGATGCTGGTAACATTCCAAGCCAAGTTGGTATTGTTTGAGGGAGACAGAATCTTTATTGAGCTTTACTGGATCATGGGTTGATTGACTCAAATCTTAGATCCTTGAACCTAGGGTCAGTTACAGGAAAGGACTTGGAAAAGGATTTTTTTTTTTTGGAGTGTTGACTTAGATGAGGTTTGTTGCCACTTTAATAAGGGTTATTTTATGCTCACAGGATTGCATGGACGAGGGTTGTGTATTTATTGTTGGTACATAGAAAGCCAGAAGGGTTACTTCCTAAGTACCAAGGATTTGAGAAAGGGGATAAGCTATGTTGATCTAAAAGGAAAATGAAAAAAGGGAAAAGGAGAGTTGTCGAGTTAGATTAAGGATTTTCCTCCACATTGTGGATGATATGATATTCTTTAGGGAAGTTCAAATTAATTGAAAAATAGCTAAGTTCTTTGGATGTTTCTTTGTAAAGGATTCAGGAAAAAAATTACATGAACAAGTCATATGAGATGTGGGGATGGCAATTGGTGTGTGACGGGCGTTTGCAAAGTGGCCTGTGCTGTGAGTAGTACACTCTAGATTTTCTTTTGTCATGCATGCTTCTAATCTCTTGTGACCTTAAGAAAATGGATGTAGGATTTAATGACACTGAATATTGCATAAAACTGGAATGATGGAAAAAAATAAAGTTAACCTAGATCAGGAAACCTCATTGGCTTATGCTAAAGTTAACCTAGATCAGAAAATCTCATTGGCTTATGCTAAAGTTAACCTAGATCTAGCCTCCTAACTGGGAGAAGAAAGGCATCAAGCCCCCGCCCCCTTACCAACCAAAAAAACAAAGAATTGGACAACCAAAAAGAAAACCAAGATCTAGACTTTTCTTTGGTGGAAGAAAAGGATTCAAATTCAAATTTAAAGGACTTTTCAAATTCAAATTCAATCTCAAAGCGAGAGAAAGATGACATTAGTGGTGAGCCCATATCATAAAATGTCCAAATCATTAATACATGTCAATAAGGTAAATCCAAGTTCGGGGAATGGTTATGTCTGTGAGAGGGTCAACCAATCAAGTCCATCAACAAACTTGTTACTTGCAGTGACATGTAGAAGATGCTACTGTACAGCAAGGTGCAGTATCAAAGGTGCTACGTATAACACAATTACATGATGCTGCCAAACAGCAACCACAAGGGCCCCTAAATAGTCTTCTACATAAAACCAATGAATATTATGTGTATAAGATCTCTGAAATCTTTAGAGACAAAGATTGATTATGCACATGAAAATAAAGATCGCCCATCACATTTCTCAAACATCATAACTCATTAGAATTCAAGAGGAGGCAAAAAGGAAAAAAAAGAAGAAAGAAAGCAAAATCCTCACAAAATATTGTATTAGTGGAGCTCAGTGAGCTTACAAAGTGCTAGAGCAAGGTATATGCAGATTGTAAATATGCACTGCCAATCGTAACTATAGACTATAGTTATAGTTATTGACCCATTGTATGTGTGTGTGTGCATACGTGTGCGTGTGTATGTGTGCATGCATGGATGCATGTGTGTTTCTTAGAATTAATACAGTGGGTCGTTGTATGATTGGTCATTGCCACTTAAGGTTGTGTCTCTGACTTGGAAAAGCTACATCAGCAATCCGCTACTGTAGTGTCATACATCCAGTACTAGTCTCCATAATTGATTTTTCCAAACTGGTTGTCAAAACATAAATCTGTAATAATGTCTTCGGTATAGAGGTTTCCTTTTTTTGCCATGAAGCAATATGTGGAAATACTATATTTTTTGAGCTGTCCTGAATTTATTTTGAAATGCATGCTTTATCCTGGTCTTTCTTCTATCCAATATTTCATGGGTCTTTTGGAATTGATGAATTGCAGGCATTCGGATACAAACCTGGTTGAATTGGGTAATGAAGCAGCAAAAGAAGATGAACGGGTTGTTTTGCTTGAGGGAGGATTCCAACCTGCTTCGAAATCTCATGTTTCAACATTAAGAGGAAATTTTGTCAGGTTGGGCTTGCACAAAGAAAATTGGTTCAGCAAAATTGTTTACTTTTTCTTTTGTATTTTCCAAAATTTGAGACAAAGCAACTCCCTGACTTTACCGTTGACAAGAAACTGATATATTTACTATCCTGAATGGAGTGTACACTTCATGCTTATAGTATCTGGCCTTATCTTGAATTTCCAGGTTTTTGGTGATGGATGAGGCATTCTTGCTTGAAAACAGAGCAACATTAAGAGCCATGTATGTGCTTTTAATCTTTAGAGTGTGTTCTTGCTATTAAGTAACGCTTGGCACTTCTCCTCAATTATCTGTGTATCGTGATCTGCAGATCTGAATTTGCTGCAATTCTGGTCTATTTTTATTTATGTGATAGAACAAGTCTGTTTGCAGAGTCAACGAAGGTACTCTCCTATTCCTCTTTTCTTTATATGTTTGCTTTTTCGGCTAAGTTAATGTTTTAACTTCCTTACAAAAAACAAAATAAAAATGGAAGAGTAAATGTTTATAACTCCCATGGATATCAAGTTGATTTACTTCGGGGAATGGAGTTCAGCATCTCAAAATAATACTTTTGAAAATTCTGAGATCCTTTTTTTTTTATTGTCATTTGTTTGATGATGTCATTTATCTTTGTTTCTGTTGCTTAGACAAATGTGAAATGTTAATTATTGAAAAAGTAAAATAGAGATATCAAATGTTACAGTTGCATAGTGTCAGACATGCCTAGTAATAATTCTCAGTATTTTCTTTCAAATCTTAATATTACTCTATACTTGGGTTCAAGTACCCCAATTTCTTGGAAATGAATACGACTTGGGCCTTATTTTAGTTGATACCAAAGAAGTTGTTTGAAAATGTAAATGAAGATAATTAATAGTAAAAAATGAAAGATAATTATATGAGAGTCTACTTATTTTTTCTTTTGGGTTTATTATTACCCACTCAATGAAGAATTTTGGTTCTCTCCATTGAGTTATGTTGCTGTGTTACTCTATCCATGGATTGGTTATGTTACTCAATGAAGAATTTTGGTTCTCTCTATTGAGTTATGCTACTGTGTTACTCTATCCATGGATTGGTTTTACGTGTCAATCATCATTATTATCAGAGTCTCTTCTCAACTATTTGGGGTCGTCTATACAAATCATAGTCCACCATTCTACTCTATCAAGGGCCATAGAGGGAGACCGTAAGTCTGCATATCTTTTCTCACTACTTCCAACCATGTCCTTTTGGGCATACCCTTTGCCTTTTTTGAGCCTTCCGCTTGAATCAACTTTGACCTCCTAATAGGTGCTGTACTAGGTTTACGCTACACATGGCCAGCCCACCTAAATCTACTTTCTCTCATCTTATCTCCTATTGAAGTCACATCTAGGTTCTCCCAAATGTATTCATTTCGCATTCTATCCCTTCTTGTCTTGCCACTCATCCATCTCAACATCCTCAGTTCAATTACACTCATCTTATGGGTATGTTGTTTCTTGACAGCCCAACATTCCCCCATAAAGCAAAGCGGGTTTGAGCCTATAGATACTTTTCTTCAACTTCATTAGTATATACGGCGATCACGTAAAACTCTAGTCGCACATCTCCACTTCGCCCATCCATTTTTAATACTATATGCGACATCTTCCTCAATCTTTCTATTTTCCTGAATTATCGATCCAAGATATCGAAGTTGCGCTCTTTTTTGTATTTCACAACCATCAATCTTAACTACCTCATCTCTACTCTTATTATTACTAAACTTGCATTCCATATACTTTGTCTTAGTTTGGCTAATTTTAAAACCTTTAGATTTTAGAGCATCCCTCCAAAGTTCTAACTTTGTGTTGATGCAGGTTCAAGTCTCATCGATCAAAACTGTTTTCCATGAAAAACATACATGATACCTCATCTTGTAAGTGCTTAGTTAAGTCGTCCATAATTAAGACAAAGAGACATGGCTCAACACTGACCCCTGATGTAAACCTATTGTAATTGAAAACTCACTCGTCTCTCCACTAATTGTTCGTACTCTAGTTAGCACTCCCTTGTACATATCTTTCACAAAGTCGATATAGTATCTGAAGACTTCTTTCTTTTTCAATACCTACCAAATTAAATCTCTTGATACTCTATCATAAGCTTTCTCTATATCAATAAAGACCATGTGGAGGTCTTTTACCTTCGCCCTAAACTTCTTAATCAATTGCTTAAGTAGGAAAATAGCCTCAATTATTGACCTCCCTAGCATAAAATCGTATTGGTTTTCTGGTACACTCATTTCATGCCATAGTCGCTACTCGGTCACTCTCTCCCACAGCTTCATAGTGTGGCTTATAATTTTGATCCCTCGATAGTTCGCACAATTTTGTATGTCTTTTTAATTCTTGTAAATAGGTACGACAATACTTTTCCTCTATCTGGCATTTTCTTTGTTCTCAAAGCAGCTTGATCAGCCAGTCAATGGCAATCTCCCCCATGCACTTTCAAACCTCTATAGGGATACCATCTAGTCCTAAAGCCTTTCCTTTCTTCATTGTCTTCAAAGCTTCTTTTACTTCTGATATCCTATTTCTACAAATGTATCTATTGCATGGTAATCGAGATTTATAACTCTATGCGGTCGAGTTTCAACCCCCTTAGGATCAATATTCCTACATTAACAACATCTCGCACCTTAAGGACTTAGAACCTTATCAAGTAATTGAGATTAGAGGTCTTTAAAACTTGAAGAAGGGTTCCTTAGATTTAAAGTTAATGTATTGATTATTGAGCCACAAACAATATCAGAAGTAAGGTAAATTAATAGATGCTCATAGTCCACTTAGGGAAATCATCTCCAAAAGATATAAATATTATGTCCTGTATTTTTAAAATGTGATTTTGATTTCATTATTATAATTCAAAATAGGATTTTGTTTGTGACATGGTGTTGTCTGTGTTGCAGTATGTGGCTTTGATACTAGGGGTGAAGATATGGAGTATTCAATTCTTAACATTACCATGATTTACCCAAAAAAACATTACAAGGCCCAAATTCTCTTAATTTTAGTGCTCCACGCCCAAGTTATACTTGCATTTGTTGCCTGCAAAAGACATTAGAATGATACTTGTTGAGAACTTATCTCTAGACATTTGCATTTGAAAGTTGATTTATGGAACCAATACTTCAACAATGCAGTCACTAGATTATTATTTGGAGCGCATATGAACTATTGGATACAATTGTCTCCTGCCTAGTTTCCAAATAACTCAAATCTAAATCTATTTCAACCATTCCATAAGTCACAGATTCATTAATATTTGATTTGTGGTATTGTGATTCCAAGAAAAAAAAACCAATTCGAGATCATATGAAGGGGGAAGCAAGATTCGATGTTTGATTAATTCATGGTTTCTTGCATCTATGTAGCATGATACTTGATGTTCAGGAATCTGGATTCGAAAACAATCGAATCGAGTTTCATTGTATGTGGAATCCACATCCAACAAATGCAGAATCGAGGTTCAAAAATTATGGAATTGAGAATCAATAAATATTAGAAACAATATTATGTAAGTGATGGAATTGAAATTCATCGCGACCTTGGGTGACAGATTCCAGTAACTACGCTTGGAGGCATGGCCATATATATTTCTTCTTAGATGTCTCCGTACAAGAAAGCATTCTTTACATCTAGCTTGGTCGATAGTCCAAGATTTATTATTAGCTAGAGAAGGATTGATACTCAATGTTCAACTTGGCTACAGGGGCAAATGTTTCTTGGTAATCTACACTAGGAGTCTGAGTGGAACCCTTTGCAACCAATCTAGCCTTATACCTTTCAATGGTGCCATCAGCCTTGTACTTCATAGTGTATTCCCATCAACATCTTACAACCTTCTTCCCTTTAAAAAGGTTGGTCATTTCTTATGTATTATTTTGCTCAAGTGCTCGCTTCTTATCACCCATAGTCGCCTTCTATTGAGGTTGTGAAAGAGCCTCTACAACACAGGAAGGTATTCAAATAGAAGACATGGCTGATATGAAGGTATAATAAGAAGAAGACCATGAAGTATAGGATACAAAGTTCGCTATTGGATGCTAAGTACATGACCACTTATCCTTGCGTACAGTAATGGGTAAGTCCACATTAGGTCTCTCAAAGAAAGTGAAAGAATTACCTGAGTCGAGAACAATTCCTAATTATGTGTTGGCATCTAGGGTATAATTGTGGCGAACTTCGGGTCTTACCATCTTCTTTCTTCTGATATAAGTCTTTAACTCTTTCTTTGGGTGTACACCATTATTTTCAGATGCACCATTCCCTTCAAATAAAATTGGTGTGAGAATAGCAAGGGGAACTACAAAATGTGCTCTCTTCACTACAATGTATTTTATTGTCCCCCTAAAGAGAATATTCGTGACCAGCATATGAGAAGTATGGAACAGATTCAAAGAAAGTAACATCTATGGAGACATAACGGACCTTGTTAATAGGGTCATAACACTTGAATCCTTTTTTATGAGATGGATATCCGAGGAACGGCTTTAGCATCAAGCTTGCCCCTCTTTGGACCAAGGATGTGGATAAAATATACGCAACCAAACACTTTGGGGAGGTACAAGAAACAAGAGTTTGGATAAATAATTTCAACAAGAGTTTTGCCCTGGAGAACACGAGATGGTATGCGATTTATTAAAGAGGCAGCAGTGAGAACTGCTAAATTTTTTCGGACCTTCATCTCTAGTACGAGAGCTCAGTTGATTTTAACAAGTGCTTATTTTTCCTCTCTCAGTAATAACATTTTGTCGAGGTGTGTATGTATATGTTGTTTGGAACTCAATCCCTTGATCAATATGGCAATCTCTGAGTTGGTTTGACACATATTCACCCCGATTGTCAGAATGTAAAACTTTAATTTATGCATCGTTTTAACCATTTTGTGATAAACTTGAAATAAATTAGTAACTTTGTCTTTTATGTTTCATTAAATAAATAATTATTAATCTAGAATCATCCACAAATGTATTGAAGAAACGTAAACCAAGCACAGAGGCAATTGGAGTAAGACCCCACACATCAGAGTGTATGAGAGAAAAATGAGTATCATTCATTTTTATTAATGCTGCTTGGAAATGAAGTTCGACGATGTTTGGACAACTCCCAAATTTCACACTGAAATTGCAATTGACTCAAATATTCAAACATTTTGGGAAATAAAGAACGCAATGTAAAAGACAATGCGTGACCAAGACAGATGTGCCATAAATACACCCTTTCTTTATTAGCAATGGAAGATGTGGTTGCTGCCAAGGCATGATCTGGAGGCTCCAAAAGTTACAATCGTCCATCCTCACGATCAACCCCAATTGTCTTCCCTGCCATCAAGTCCTAGAAGACACAATAAGAGGGGAAAAAAGGTTACACGAAGCTTAAAGTTTTTGTGAGATTACTATCTAACAAGAGGTTACTAGAAAGATTGGGAACATGCAGGGTGAAGGACAAGTTAACAAAAGGGGTTACAAATATGGTTTCCTTCCCTTTCATTCGAATAAGAGAACTATATGCCATTTTAACAAATTCTTGATTAGAGCGAGGAATATAAGAAGAAAAAAAGATCAGCCGTACAGTCATATGTTCAACAGCTCCAAGTCAATAATCGAAGGGGTTTTAGATGAATTTATGTAGGCATGATGAGCTGATGCAAATATACCTGTTTGGGCAACATGGGATTTAGAAGAAGGAGGGTCTCGGCTGGACGCTTGCTGCTTGAGATCAAGAAGCTCTCTTTCAGGAATAGTCATCAACTCTTCTTCAAGTTCAAAAGGCAGTAGTATCTTGCTACCCATGCATGGCAGGAGCATCTCTTTCACTATTGTTGCTGAATTTGCTCAAGAAACATTACGTTTGGGGTGTCCAATCAGATTCCAACACGTATCCTTTGTTTGTTTACTCTTCCCATAGTGGGTGCACTTTAATGCGTCATTCTCTAAAGTGGGACTTCCATGACCACGTCAACCACCATGGCCTCCATCTCGACTCTAAAAATGTCCTCCACATTGATTACCACTTGAATGTGAGAGTAGAGCAAATCTTTCTATTTTGCCTATAGGCCCTGCTATAATTTTGCAACGAGTTTCCTTACATAGAAGAAGAGAGAAAACAGTTGCAAGTGATTATAAACTCTCACCACCTTGAACATTTACCCTAACTGATTCATATTCTCCATAAACTCCTCTCAGAAGATCAAAATTTTTCCTTTGTTCTAATCTTTCTCTTTGTTCCTTTCCACAAGATGAGCACTATATGAGCTGATAATTACTCATTTCATTTCAAAAACCATGCAGACATGCATAATAATCTCTCATTGATAAGTCCCCTTGTTTGAAATTACTGATTTGTTGCTCTAGCTCATAAATCTTGCAATATTTTTCTTTTGGGAATAAGTCTCAACAATTACATCCCATATTTCTTCAGAGGTATTGAGGTTCATAAAAGTTTGACTCAAATTAGCATGTATAGAATACAATCACCAATTCATAATTCCCTATAATCAATTTGTAATTCCCATATCGTCGGCTTCCCAATTTGCATTTTTAGGATCCTTGAGATTTGGTTTTTTTTTCCTCTCTACCTTTAGTATTACCTCATTTTTTCTTTCCACCAGACCTGGCATACTCTAAATAATAATTTCCATCAAATTTAATTGTGGTAATTTTGGAGTCCAGATTGCTCCATATTTTATGTTTGCTGAGGCATCATTTACTGTGGTTACACCCTCAGATTTAATCAACAGTTGAGGTCAAGTTACATCCTAAGGTATCTTCAAAAAAAGGATCTATAGATCTGATTACACCCTCAGGTCTGATCATACCTTGGAAACAACACTACCAATGTTTGCTTGACTGGGATGTACAAACCCTAATCCACCTGTGATCTGTGTTTTCTATCAACATATGATCTACATCAAGAAATCACAAAAAGAACTCACCTTGATCAACCCAATCATTGCTGGAAAAACTACGGTTTTAGGGCATACTGATGTCATCTAACCATACAAATGACATCAGCCCTATATCATATCTTCACACACATGTTCTTTGATGCTTTACCTTTTCTTTGAGGCTCTAATACCAAGTTGAAAGTAATCGGGGCCAAATTAATCAAAGAAGAGAAGAGGAGAAAAGTAAAAAAAGTTATTAGAGAGTAATAAGAGAAGGAAAGAGGAGGAAAAGGTGGGGGGAGAGAGAGAGAGAGAGAGAGAGAGAGAGAGAGAGAGAGAGAGAGAGAGTAGAAGAAGAGAGAGAGGAGGAGGGAGGAGAGAGAGTAGAGTGAGAGAAGAGAGAGAGAGTAGTGTGTGTAGTGTACGTAGTAACGTACGACACTACACTACGT